AGCCTCAGAGAGGCCTGCACTGACCTGCCTGCCTGCCCTGGATTTCTGCCGCCTGAGCCAGCCCTTATAAAGGAGCTCCTGGAATCCTATTTCAACCAATAAAACTGAGGGTTTTCCCATCTAATGGAAGCTGCACAGCTGTAACCAACCAGAGCGGCTCTATTTCTACCAACCATGACAAGTGTCTTTTGTACCAATCAAACTGTTGGGATTTGGTGTCCTTATTTGCATGAGGACAGACCAATCAGGCACCAGGTGCAGGGACTTCTGTCCACAGAAGTCAGCTTCCCTCTGGCTCTGAGATCACGCTTTGTCTTTCCACCAAAGACTAAAGACTAAGTCTTCCTGGCTGAGCTGAAACACCAAAGATGTCTCATTAGAGAAGAGCAGAGCAGACCAGCACAGTGCAAAGCAGACAGGCAAGGGGCAGAGCAGACCCCTGAGGAGCAGAGCAGAGCTATCCAGCTGGAAGGAGGCCTGGCCCCGGGGCTGCCTCACAGTTGTGTAGTTTTCACAGCCCTGCTGTGTCACAGAATTGAACTGTTCTGCACTGAATAAAGTTTCCTTCTTCACCACACCCCAAACTGGGGGTTCCTGTTGGTGTTGAATTGGCCTCAATGAGCATAAGTTATCAAAAGGACTAACTATATGTTTTAAAGCAAGGTCTTTGTCTTACTTGTTATTTTTATCTATGGTAAAATGTAACATAAAATTTATCATCTTAACAATTTTTAAATATACAGTTCAGTGATGTTTAGTGCATTCACATTGTTGTGCATCCAATCTCCAGAACTTTTTCATCTTGCAAAATAGCAATTATCTACCAACGAAATAATATTCCATCCTCCCCTAAGCCCCTGGCAACTGCCTTTCTACTCTGTCTTCATGAATATGACTACTATCTCATATAAGAGAAATCATAAAGTATTTTGTTTTTTTGTGACTGGCTTATTTCACTTAGCATAATGTCAAGATTCCTCTTATGTGGTAGCATGTGTCAGAATTTCATTCCTGTATAAAGTGGAATACTATTGCAATGCATTCACATACCACATTTTGTTTATCCATTCATCTATCAATGGACACTTGGCTTGCTTCCAACCTTCTTTGACTTACTTTTTAAACAATTTAAATGAGCAGGCAACAGTACTGGAGTCAGACCACTGGGGTTCAACTCCCTCCCCTCCACGGTAGCACAGAAAAACAAATGTTGAAAAGAAAGACGGTAAAGGAAAGATAAGTACTCTGTGAAGCACTCAGCAAGTAAAAATACTGACATTGCTAGGTTCTGATGAGGGTTTTCAGATACCAGAAATTCATTCAAACATTTGTTTTTCAATATGAATAGGAACAAACATATGCTAGATGCTGAAAATGCAGAGACAGTGCCTCCTTTGAGGGCAATGATAACCAAAGGGCATCCATCTGGCCTTTGGGAAACAACTGTAAATAATGGGTAAAATAGGGTGGGAGAGGGGTACAGGGCCCAGCCTCACTCTTGGGCAGGGCTCTGGAAAGGCTTTCCAGAGTTGAGTCCTAGAGAAGGAAGAGTCAGGAGGGCACAGAGGAAGGAGAAGGCTCTGCAGAGAGGGGACAGCAGAACAAATGTGGACGTGAGAGGGTGACGCACAGTCTCAGACGCAAGACGCTAACTTGATGAAAAGGGAATCCCAATAAGCAGAGCCCCCAAACAGAACAAAAAAGACACAAAAACAAGGCCTAATGAAGTGTCAATCAACCGGAAGAGATGAAAACCCACTGGAGGTCAGGCGTCACTGGATGCCCACTCTGGCGCCAGTGTGAGTCTCCTGGCCCTTGGCTGGAGTCGCCTCAAGTGCTGAAAACAACTCACAGCTCAGGAGTATACATTAAAGTTGAAGCAGTGAAAGCTGAGAATCATTAAAAGATTACTGACCCTATGTCACACCTCATTCCATTATGTGGAAATATTTTTAAAGCCTAAACATGTCTAAAAGAAGTCCACTTCAGAAAATACAAAGTGATCTACTCAAGTCTCTGCTTTTTCAAATATAAGCAACTTGCCAAGTTACTACATTGTAGTGTTATATTAGCATTTACTTTTAATACATGCTTCATTCCAAACTTTAAAAAAAAAGAGACTGAATCATCTACTGTTTTACGTTATCTAGTAGTCTCATCTCAGGGGCTCATGGGACTGCAACACCTACAATATTATTGTCTACAAACAGAGTTTCTATTCCCCAGAAACTACACAAGGAACTAACTAGACCACGAAAATGAGAAGCGAGATCTGCGCCCTGCTCAGGTATGAGACCAGGAGACCATCACACGAACAGTAGTGATAATGCAATGACACATGCCAGTGTGGAAGAACATGGAAGGGAATAAGAGGAGGCAACTTCCGGTCCTGGACATCCCCTTATTCATTTTTCCACTCGCTCGCTCACTCATTCATTCTTTTCTTCAGGGCCTCATCGGCGCCAGGAGCTGTTTCTAAGGGTTGGAGATGCCTGTACAGGAATGCTTCCATATGGCTGCTGAAGGATGAATAGAAGTTCCTTGGGCTGAGGTGGGAAGGAAGGAAGTGCTCCAGGTAGAAAAAAGAGTGCGGAGACCAACACAGCTACCAGCAGTCACAGTGGGGGTGGGGGGGAGAGGAACAGATGGGAGGGAGGGGGGATGATGGGAGACCCAAGGGAGTGTGACCAGGAGCACAGGTTGCAAGACAGCAGCACACCTGAACCCTGACGGAAGAAAAGGAATGAAGGATGTGTGGAAATGGGAATACATTTCAGGATAGGGAGAGACAGGAAATACACCAACACGGCACAGGGTAGGGTAAAAACATGGTGAACAACAATTCACTGAGAAGAAACTGTGGGGGAACCGGCTCTGTGTAGGACGTGTAGGACACCAGGATATCCGTATTGCAACCCTGTTATGGGTTAATGCTATTAAATATTTGAATCATCCCTGGCTGGTGTGGCTCAGCGGACTGGTTGCTGGCCTGTGAACCAAAAGGTTGCCAGTTCAACTCCCTGTCAGGGCACATGCCTGGGTTGCAGGCCAAGTCCCCAGTTGGGGGCGCAAGAGGCAACTAATTGATGCTTCTCTCTCTCTCTCTTTCTCCCTTCCTTCCCCTCTCTCTAAAAAAATAAATAAAATCTTTAAAAAAATAAAAATAAACAAATAAATAAATATTTGAATCAAACAATCAAACCTCTCCTTGCTTGCATTCGATGACCACCATGCCCTGGTATGGATTTTCTGCCTGCTTGAGGGAGAAACAAACCTGTCACTCTTTCACAATTTGTCATTTGTTTCCTTCAGGTTTGGTAAAGGCCCACTGCTGAACGTCCACACTCTGAGTCTATAAAGGACTCAGACAAGGAGGAGTAATTCCTGGAAAACTGACTTTCCCATGCTAATACTGCGCAGTGGGAGACTCGGTTCCCTGGGAACCCCCTGAGTCTCTGCCAAGGGATCCTGCCCCAGCACTGTGACTGCCATTATGACCCACCTCTGGAGGTCCGGCTCTGCTCTTTCGCACCACTCCCGCCCCCAACATTCCCTGTCTTCCACTCTAATTGCTTCATATTAGAGCATAAACACCCTACCACTTTGCATTGGCCCAAGTAGACCTCAATCAGCTTTTGATTGCTTCTATATTTTGTAAAGTTTACTTTGGCTCTTTCCTATGGTGATCTCAAGGTTTTAATAATTATGGTCTACATCAGGTTTTAATGACATTATTCTCTTCTACATCATCCAAGTCATTCACAGAAACATTAAACATCACATGAACTAAGTTTAGAACAATTCCATATGTCTCTCAAGTTGGCCCTGACTCACTCAGGCCTCTTAGCCACTTGAAAAAAAATTGTGAAAAATTATTCTTTGGTTATTTTTATTTGTATTATTAACTTTTGGCCAATGTTGTTTTTATTTTTCTATTATTAGTAACTCAGACACGATCCCTTTAAACTCCTCACACTCTATTGTTTTAGCACAAAGCAATTCATTAACACAAAATCAAATGTTTTCATTTCCATTCTTTAATCTTAACCAGTGTAACAAAGTAAAAACAAAAAATACAAAATCATGAACGAAAGACCTATAGAAATTTGTTAAATGACGAGGAAGGGCGAAGGGAGTTTTCCTGATGATATGTATATGTGAGTACAGCTTACCTATTTTCATTAAGATATCTATAATTTTCAAAGAAAACTAAAATAGGTTTGCTCTTCTGAAAATAGGAACCATACATATAACTTCCCATTTCATACTGTTGAATTTCAACATTAATGATGTCCCTAAGGTTCTCGTGTTGTTTTTTTTTTAAAGTTTAGTCTTGCCAGATGTAATAAAATGTCTTATTGCAGAAAAACACAAAATTACTGGTTACAAGAGCAGAACTAAAAGAACCTTCCAGAGATTTACATTTGTCCCCAGACTAAAATCAACCATATAACCCATTAGGGTTCTCTAAGACTTCCAGAAAGTATACCCCTAAGATGTTAGAAGTTAGAAAAGAAGACCGTTCTTCAATTTCCTAAGTCACTTTATTTGAATAATTATTTTGCAGCATGGTCAAAATCATGGTGGCCATCTGATTATGGGCTAAATATTTGAGAAAGCTTAATATTCTTCACAACTTCCAAAAGGAGAACAAATTTTCCTTTTCAAGCAAATGGTTTTTATAAAGAATCATGTGACTCTTCTAACTACATTATCGGTTTAAGTCATTTGCCACTTTGGAAAGAGACAAATTCTGAAGAAGTTGGTAAAGCCAAATGTAGATTATAGGCTTTACAAAATGAATAAAGGATGCAAAGCAGCCAAGTAACTGTATTACTTTGAAAAAGTATTCACATCTTAAAATAATAATTTTCTATTAATCAAACTATCAAAAGTGAAATGAAATTAACATATTTCAAACACAGCCAGAATACTGAGTTCAAGTCAAACCACACAAATATTTGTTTCTTAAGTAATTTATGACTAACAGACTCACTTACCTGGAAGCATAAGAAAAGAAGGTTATGGATGGAACTACATCATTCCTCTACTGCGTAAAAATACCTTGGCTTCTCTCCTTGAAATGGAAAGGATTCTAAAATACAAAATACATACATACATACATAAAGTTAATTTCCTTCTATTAATCTTCTGCATATTTCCATGTCTTAAATCGGTGATATTACAAACTGGTAAAATTTTAAATCATTTAGGATATAGAATATAATTCATCCAAAGTATAGCCCCAAAAAGCAGAGTATTTCCTCCTCCCTATTTTAACTGGTAAAACACAAAACATTTGTTTAAAAACAAAAACTCACATAAAGGTTTAATAAATGGTGAAAGCCACGAAAAAGTGTGTATAAAAGCAAAGCGGAGTCATATTTACTTGAAAAAGAAACAAAAAACCCCAAAAAACCAAACCTCACAAGAAAAGAAACGTGCCTGCTGCCCACGCGCTGCGTCCTAACTCCCGCTGCTCTCGGCCTCGGGGCCGGAGCAGCACCGAGGCCACTGGGCGGCCGGGAGTCGAAGTGCTGCCCCCCTGTGAAAGGACCGTGCTCAGCGCCGCCACTTTTTTTTTTTTAATGGTTAGATGGAATGAAATGTTAAAATAATAATAACAACAACGACAACAATAAATCCTCCTGGTAATTTTCCCCGAAGGAAGGAAAGGGTTCACACGTTCCGTAGAGTCGGAAGATGGCAGGAAAGCCCAGGTCCCCGGGACCGCCCGCAGCTCAGCGCCGCCCCGCCGGTAGCGCAGCCGGCAGCGCCGCCGCTGCTGCCCACGCGGCTGCAGCGAGGAGCTCGAGCTGCCGGCAGGGTGGGCGCGCACTTGGCCCCCGCGGGACAGCGGCCCCAGCGCCGCCTGCCCTCGGCTGCGGTCGCCCTCGCTGTCTTCCCAGCAGAGCGAGGCAGCTTCAGCCAAGCGCCCCCACACCATCCCTGCCTTGAAGGAATTCCACTGGAGGACGCTTGGGTGTCAAGGAAGATAAAAGCAGATGGAGAAGAGATAACAAGCAAAACACTCTGGAAACAAAAGCCAGGAAAATATCCTGGAAAGGGACTAAGCCCTCCTGTTAGATAATAAGTGTTAATAATGCTATCTTCAATTAATTAACGCAGACTCATCTTTCCCGAGTTTTCATGATTTCATCTCATCTTTACATTTCAAGTAACGGCAAAAAGTAAAAGGTACTATTATTCCCGTTTTACATGCAAGAATTAAAAAGGTGCTGAATGGTGGGGACACAAGGCCAAAGGAAAGTTTGAACCCATTCACATCTGCATCCACATCTGCATCCACCAGCCCCTCTCTCCACGGGACAGCCTCCCGGGGACTAAGGCTGATCGGCCGCGTGTTCGAGTCTCCCTTCACCTCAGTTGGCAGGTTTTCTCTGAGGCGCCGGCATGAACAAAGTCAGCAGAAGAGAGAAGTGCATCACTATGGAAGTTTCGAGTCCATCTGTATACACGCACTGTCACCAGCATACCGTGGGTCTTATGGGACAGTGGGCTGGCCCAGGCGCCTCTGCGGGCTCCATGGCAGTGCCCTCTGCAGGTTGCAGCCCTGCCCCTTTTGGCTCCGCTCTCACATCCCGCACTTCCGCCTCTGCCTGCCTAATTAATCTATGTCTGAATGGAATTGCAGTTGGCAGAAAGGAAGCAATGCCAAAGTGGAATAATCACTTGGACTTGAATCTGAGTTGTTTTCCATCCTTGACAGCAAAGAATATTACCCCAGAGCCTGCAGGCCAAGAGTTGAAATGAGTTTATAATTTGGCTTTTCATCTCATATTCTTATTCTCTTAAATTTTCTTCTCTGTCTTTTAGCATGCAGTGGGTAGCTTGGGAGGCGAGATCACCAGCGTGGCCTTTATTGATATCCTTAATAAATTTTCTTTGCCAACTAAATAAAAAGGGAAAAAATCCCCATTATTCAAAATCACTCTTGTTTTAATAATGAAGCTAAGTAGACTGTCAGCTCATACCTCCATATGATCATTAATAATCTAATTTGTTCTTCTCACTCCAGCAACCTGAAGGGAAATATTCAGCGTTTTCATCTACACATACTCGTCCAGCCTCTGAGAGCCTGGTCCTCGGACTGCCAAACTACAGGTTAAGAGTCACAGGAGGGCTCAGCTCCTTCCTCTTTCCTAATAAGAACTTATTAAAATCCTGACTTTTGACTCGGGGAGGTACATTGTCTCCTTAGCAGTTATACACATCATGTTCGCCAAGAAGGTAGTTATCTCAAGCTAGTAAGGGAGAAGGAAAGAGCCAGAAAGAACCACTGACGAGACTCCCTTAGCGATCACTGTGGAAGGGGAATTAGCATCATGAAGAATTACTGAAGGTGAACCACGGGTATGCAAAGGAGAAGTGGTGTGTTCAACTGCACACATCTCCCATAAGGAGAAAGGGAAGGAACCCCAGCTGCACGTCTGTAATGTTCCACACACTGAGCTGCATTACATATGAATTCATTAGACCCCCACAACAATGCTGTGGATATATGCATTAATATTCCCATTTTACAAATGGGGGAAATGAGGCTGAAAGGTGTTAGGAAACCTTCCCAACTAGAGTACAGTAAAGCCGGGATTTATCTGTCTTCAAAACTAAAGCTCTAAAAAGAAAAAGAAAGCCTTTACTTTTTCTATTATGCAACATTGCCTTACTGCAAGTACTAGCTCTCATGTGTGCTTCTCTAACAGAAGCGGGTGCTAGCTAAAGTGGTAGCCTGGCAGATATGCCGCCAGCTTCTAAACACTGCCGCCGGGGCCATGGAAACTCAGGCCCTTCCCACTCTCCTGAATCCCTCACCCTTCATAAGAAATCACAGTGACAAAAGCACACTCTTGGACAAGTCTTCCTGAGTATCAAAGAAACAAACAATAGGAATGTGCTAAAAATGAAAGCTAAATCCAGGAAAGCAACTGCAGGTACACCGAGTAGATATAGTACCTTGCTTTTTCCAAATCAGAAAATAGTTCTCAATAACATTCCCTCAGTCTGAATATTGTATCCAGGTCTGAAGTCCCCTTTCCTGTCATCTGATGCCCGGCGTGTTCCCGACAGCTTGGCACAGAGAGTGAGGATTACACAGGAGTTTCTGTGGTGGCTTCTTGAGTTTTAGTTGTGGTAACAAGTGGACAAGAGAAAGCAAGATTTGCATGAGAGTGGCTGGGAGAATGTCCATGGAAACACCACATACATGGCTTTTGGAAATGTCCCATTTGGGGTTCTGAAAGCCAGGAAATCCGCCCCTCTCCACCCCACGGTAACAGAGTTTGACATACATCAATTAGCAGGACTGCATAAATAAGTCGGCTTTTCATCATGCTAAAAGAAGACTACCAAAAATCAACTACTGAAAAGAGCAGTTGAAAATGGGGACACTGAGATCAAGAGTGTTTTAACAATCTAAGAACAGATTCTATTCATTGTACAATTAATAAGGGAAAGTTCCAGTGTTTTCATTTCCAAAGAACTTCAAAAACACTATTGGTCCAATTGTGTGACAATAGCCATCTGTGTGCCTTGTAAGTTCCAAGGCTCCCTCACCTTTGCAAATGTGAGTCTTTAAATCTTTATTTCACCTAAACTAAATGTCAGATACACTGATTCCTGAATAACAAATGAAAAATCCCAAGAGACTACACATGTGTCTGCCAACTAAAGCTGTCTAGTGAGGTTTTCTTTGTGCATATGTGGATAATAATGTAGGTTTTAAAATAACGATAATTTTTTTTTATTTGTAAAATCAATGGAGTCCTATAGGCCAGCAGTCCCCAACCTTTCTGGCACAAGGGACCAATTTTGTGGAAGGCAATTTTTCCACGGACCAGGGTTGGAAAGGGAGGGATGATTCTCCTAGAAGAACCTATGCTAGTCTGACAGGAGATGGAGTTCAGGCAGTGATGCGAGTGATCAGAACAGCTGTAAATACAGATGAAGCTTCACTCACCACTCACCTTCTGCTGTGCGGTCCCTTACGGGTCCTGTCTGTGGCCCAGGGTGTTAGGGACCCCTGCTCTATGTTATGGTAATGTTTTTCATTTGTGTAAATCAATGGAGTCCTCTATGTTATGGTACTGAAAGACAGCTCACAGAGCGTCCAGCACTGTGCGGTCAACTTCTAAAATTACCTTTCTCAAGAATATGTTTCAGAAGAGAAGGTGCCCTCAGATGCTACACGTTACAAATCGCATGTTACTACTTTCTTGACCACTTTCTTTCCACATTAAATAATTTTACTGAAAGTAGTAGGTTTTAAGGCACCACTGACTTTAAAAGGCATGAGTTCTTCCCCCAAAATGTTGTTTTCTGTTATTCAGTGAAATGAAAAACAGAATCCCTGTGTTCTGGTCTCCTGTGCACAGAAGCAGACTAACTGAGGAGACAGCTCTTTCTTATTCCCAACTCTCGCAGTGCAGGTTACTATTACCTCCTTCACTTCAATTTTTTCACTCTGATAAATGGGGATAATCTCAGATACCATTAGCAGAACTACCAAGACTATGAACAAAATTATCTTACTAAATTATTTGGAGTCTCTTTTTAAATGTATGGGTTTATTTATCACCTTCAAGTGCATCAAATAATATTTTCCTTATACTCCAAAAATTTATCAAGCACCTCCCAAGCTAGGCAATGGGGTACCTGTGAGTTTCTTTTTTGAACCTTCTTCACAGTATCAACATGGGAACCACTAACATGAAGAATGAAATGATTCACATGCTAAATAGAGACACAGTAATGTGCTGTTAGAGCATAAAGAAAGATAGTCTATTTTGGATTGGAGAGGACCAGAGTAATAGCCAACCTCTGAGAAAGAAACTGTATTGCTCTGTTTGCCATTGGTTGTGAGACCAATAACCCAATCTTTCGATTAAACCAGCTACGATACAGACAGGCGGTTGATGGACCTTCACAAAAGAGAACTATTTTCCAGGACACAGACTGCAGCATCACAGTTATACTCACATGCAATTGCTCATTTTATGAGACACTCTCTCCCAATAAATTCTTCTGGGCCAGCCCTGCCCCTGCTAGATATTGCAGCTGCTCAACACATGTTAGGTA